TCCCCCGGGTGGTAGCCAGATGGCATTGGCTGGTAGACGGAACCCGGAGGAGGCCGACCCTGTGCGATCTAACGGGAAACAGCATCCCTCAGGTTGCTGATAAACAGAAAACTCTCAATTATATAGTCCTCTCATAAATGATCTCAGTTCCATAGCATGTCTTAAGCCAGTAAAATAGCAGAATATCTTTCTGAAATAATTCTGATATTTTTTACTTAAGAGATATAGCACACATTGAAAAGTCTACTTCTAAGATTAAAGGGGAATGGCTGTCATGAAAAAATAATAACTAATAAATAACAAGTCAGCAACTATGAAACTCTATTTTAAATACACCAGCTTGTTTATAACTATTATATTTGATTCACAGTTCAACAAAATATAAATTTGATAAATAACTAAACTACAAATTTAGTATTCCCTTATTGAATCATGCTGGCTATAATCCTAGTCTACCATAAATATTAATTTAACACACTATAGTTATATAATACAATATTAAAAGGTACTCAAGACATGAATATATAGAATACCTAATTTGTTCATTTTGACATTTTCACTTATCCTAGCCTATGCTTCCATGGGAAAATGTACATCATACCAAAACATTCCAAGCATCAATAATGCCAGTTATACTTCTATCATCAAAGAGTAATTTAAAAACATGTATCAATAGCCACGCTAATATCTATTTAGAGATCCATCAAAACGATTAGATGGAAATGAAAAGCATTTTTGTTATGTCATTCATTCACTACACTATCCCAAGATGAACAACGAACAAAAATGTGATGTGAAGATAAATAAAAAATGCTTATGAATAATGTTGCTAGCATTATATCACTATAAATTTGGTATTTTTGCCCTGTGGCTTGCAGATGTTAAGTATATTTATCTGTGACACTTAGCAAAACCCACTATCTGGAAAGACAGCCAGTGTGATATGATAGTTAAAGTTTTGGACTAGGTCAATGAAGTCCCTATCTACCCTAAAGCACACCAGGTGACTTTGGGAAAACCTTTTTTTCTCAATCCAATATATTGTACATAGTTGCTCTTGCCAATATAAAATGAAAAGTGAGTCATTGAAGAAAGAGGAAATAAGTTTAAAAATAAATAAATAAAATAATGTAAATATGTTCAGTTTAAGAATAGGGTTCTCTTCCTGAAAGGCACTTTACAACCTCAAAGATCCTTTCTTAAAATAAAGCACAATTGTTTACCTGAGAATTGGGTGAAAAGAAGCCATTGTATATCTGTGTAACTTGAAAAATAATTACAGATTTATATAATACAGGTAAACCTCTAATCAATAAAATAAATATGTGATTAGGAATTGAGATGGGAAAAGCAAGCTTTAGAATCTAGGTTGATCACTATGATACAAGTATCAACAATATAAAGTTTACATTACTACAATTATTCAAACACATGAAAATGAAAGATTGTTCAAGTTCTTCCTTAAAAGGTTTAAAATATTGTTAAATTTATTAAATAAATTCATGAATAATATTTCTCCCTCTTTACAGCTTTCTCCATTTAGGAGTTCTGAAGTTTCCTTATAAATACTCTTGCAAAGAACAATATTAAAAGCCATTTTATTTCTAATATTGTTCTAACAGTTTGCTTCACTATCACACTATATGAAAATTCCAAGAATTCAGTGCATCTGTCTGCTTTGATTAAAGAAGAATCTGAAACAACAAAACTCATTCAAAATTATTGTTAGACTATTATAACATTAAAATATGTTCTTGATATATTCCCAATATATAAAAACCACTATGAAAACACTGGGACCAAATATTTTAAGCTAGATCTATTTAAAAACCAAAGTACAAAACTGGATTTTCAAACTACATTTTAGAGAGAAGAAAGTATAAAACGAATCACCTAGATTAAACAAAAGACAAGCAAGTGAACTCTCAGTCAAGGATGCTTATTGTCTCGGTTTAGATAACTGGGTATAAAATTACAATTGTAATGGTTCAATTTTATTCTAGGTTTGAAACTCCTAAAAAGGCATCTTGATATTCAATCTCTCTAATAGCATAAATCATGTGGGTCTATTTACTGATCAGCACTGATTACTAAAAAATATTTTAAACATGGATAAAGTTCTTTAATATTATTTAGGCTGTTTAGAAATAAAAGTACAAAACTGCAAAAAGTAAATACACAAAAATTATATATGTGCACACCTAAGTAATTCTACATAAGAATTTCCAGACTTTATGATAATTCAATAACTGTTTCTACACTATGGCTGTGAACTCTGCAGCTTCCAACTGGAAGTCAATCTAGGACAACCAATAATAACTGTACCAATATAATTGTATTTTCTCTATCAGAATAATAATTTTTCAGCAGATTGATTTCAAATTATTAGAACCTGCATTTAATAAAAGACTGCAGCTCTTTCTTAAATTGACAAGAGTGGGAGATAAGGTCTCATATTTATGTTATAAACCTCCAAAACTCCTTTTTAAAACAAGTCACAATTGATAGAACTGGATTTCTAAACTAAAGTACAGTAACACATCTTCTAGTATAAACTACCATATAATTTGTAAATATATTTTCAGTGTTTAAAAAAACAGAAGAAAATCACCATGACAATTCTTTTTTTAAATGAAGTCTCTGAAGAAGGGTACAAGACCAATTGATTAATATTGTAATTGAATATTTAAAAATCATTTCAGAAATAATTTGAAGAATGTTTTTTAAAATTTTTATATTTAGAATGCAACTAAACCAACATCTGACCAGCAATACTCTTGATAACAATGTGTACATACAGCCTTTAAAATAACAGTATGCCAGTCTCCAAAGCACAAGAATTCCATTTCCTTATTAAAATGAAGTTTTAAAAACCCAGTAGCTTATATTTTCTTAGGAAAGCAATTAAAATACTAATATTAATTAGTATTATTAATAAAAAGCTTACAACAGCTGTTTGTGCACCTGAACTTTAATTCTGGGAGACATAGAAAGCAATTCAAAAACTTCAAACACAGAAGCCTTTCAGCTGGCAAGAGAACACAATTTTAATATGTTTAGAAAGTAAAGATATTTTGTACCTTGATATACATTGAAATACCATTCAAAGCTTAATGCCACTGCTTCAAGAGACCTGATGGCACTTACCGCAAGTAATACTGTTTTAAAGCGAAGGCAGCGTTAGAACAACTTCTGGGAAAGTTAAATGCTTCCACTATTTCTCCCCACTGATTCTTCTCAGATACCTGTCAAAAACAACACACAGAGAGATGCACAAATCTACACACAGACACACACGGTCGTTGATTGCCACCATCAAAAGGGCTGCCATGAAACAAATAAATATGATAAAGATTTTAAAAAATGATAGGATCAGGATTTTCTATTCTTACTGACAGTCACCTGCGATACAATATTGCTCTTCCCCTTGTGTTTTACATTTTTTAAATAGAGGAGTGAAAACGTGAACGGATTTTATTCTGTGGAGAGGTTTGTTTTTGTCTTCGCTGCCTGGACAATAACCAATCGGGAGTTCCTCTGTTGTCCGCTTTTAAATCCTCCCGCGGTCCGTTAAAATCCAAAGAAGTTGAAAATGAGCCAAGGAAGCCTCGGTGGGGGCCGTCCCCGTCAGCTGAGGGTGCAGGAGAACCGTCCCGCTGAGCCTCCCCCCCCCCTCCGCAAGCTCCACAGATACAGAGAGGCCTTTCTTTTGAGGCCTACATTTCTCTCCCTAGTCTTGAAGCCTAAAGATGGCTATTTGATTACACATCGTCTTGGCTGCCCCTTTTGTTATTTCTCCCCGGAAGGGGCTCCATGGACAGCGCCAAGGCCGCCCCATGGCAGCCAGGACCATTTCCTAGCCCATGCTCCGTGCCGATTATCGATGTTAAACATGCCCGCTAATTTTGAGTTCCACTAAAACTGCACTCAGTGCGAGGCGCGCGCGCGCGTACACACACACACACACACACACACACACGGGAGAAACTGCCCCCAAACACA